AAATAGTTTTAAATTGATATGATAAATTATCGAAGAATAACTAATTCTTCCATGCTCTTATACTACAATTATATGAATAGGACAGAGAATACTAATTATAATATGACTCACAAATTCAAATCAAAAGTTTATTCAAAGAGCAACATATATCAAGAGAAAGTCTTGGTTGCATGTTTTATTAATAAAACCAAAAATTTATATTGATATATTTTACTAAATGTTTGTAATATGACTTCCTTCGTTAATGATTATTTAAATGAATTGTTTTTGATTCTTTATCAAAGCCTTATAATTAAAAAAGTTTTTTTTTCATTTTTATTGTTTAAATTATTTCGCGCATTCCAATCTCAACTGAAATTATCATGTCAACTGTGACATATGCATGCACAAAATCGCAAAAAATTAGAAATTTTCCTCGATTTTGTTTCTCCGACCAACTCACAGACGACTTACCTATTTGAGTTTGTGTCTTTTAAGAAAAATAGATAAAACTAAGATCGGCTTATAATAGAAAATTCAACCAAAACAGATGTACTCATGAATAGATAGGAATGTTACAAAAAATTGTCATCTTTTTCGGAGGGTACTCTCAGAAAAAATTGAATATCTCGGGAACGAAACAATATTTTTTCGAACCGGCTTGCGCAGAAATTCATCAAACTCTTGCCCCTACGAACCTATACATAAAGGAGTCCAATTGGTTTCCATCGATTGAGCCGCTTCTACGTGAATAGGTCGTGGCTTACGCGGAATGGCTCATACATAACCCCAAATGCTGTACAACCTTATCAAGAGTAGAAGGTAAAATAATTATCCAATTTTGTTTTTCAAAACATCAAGTGAATATGAATGCGACTTGATAATTTTTCATTTCATAAAAAATTTTCATAACTACGTTCTCACAGAAATAATTTTTAAAATCGATGAAAACAAATTCATATCAATCATGAAGGAATTATTTATCAAATCGCGCTGGAACAATCGTATACTGTTACAGCTAATAAAACGTACGAAAGCAAATATTATGTATCGTAAAGAACAGAGATCTCAGTACATCATTTGTTATATAAACTTTTACTTGAAAATTGAAAACAAAATTGCCACTTGAAGCTTTTTGAATTTCTACTGTTTCAGATCTAGAACTGTGTTAATTAGTTTTTTGGAAATATATAGCATGAAATGAATAAATTCAATTGTTCTCAACTACAACATCCATAACCTCGTCTAACGCATGACTTACCGATATTAACTACAAATCGCTACACTATAAATCAGTTGAGTTTTGAATCTTTTCAGTTCATTACAACCATCAAAATGATCGTCGATCATCACTTGCACAGGTTCAACATGACATTCTTCATCTAATATATGTAGTGAACTAGTCATTACGTTTGGGTGTCGTGCAGCTATCAGTATTTTCTTTTTGTGGCTTAGAAATATTGAATTCATTTCGCCACCTATTTACTCTTGGTTTTAAGTTATCAAATGAACATTTATTTGCTTTGCTTTTATTTTTCGATCAATTATAATATATTTCATTTCAATATATAAAATCAATGTCTCTCTACTGCACGCAGATGATAGAAAAAAAACGCCGTTGGTTTACATCATAACCAACGTTAATAAATATATGTGTTTCATCCAGTGTCACGATAGACATAAAAATGTGATGAATTCTCGTAAACCTATCAAACGTTACATTAGACTTTTAAGCGTATCAAAAGATTCGACTCGCCTGTTTACCTATTAACACAATTTCCTTATGCCCCAATTAATACAATAATCATCTCAGCCTAACTTCCTTTCTCTAATTGATATGAAACATGAAATAGCGGACAGTTCAGATTTAAAGTGACTTCTATGGAATAATAAAAGATAATCTTATCAATCATCTGAAATAATCAGGAAGAAGAATAATTCAAGAAAAAAAAACTATTTTAGGCAAATTCTTTTTTTTTTAGAAATACACGAATTCTTCGATGAAGCAGTCATCCGGAATCAACCAATTTTTTGAAAAAGAGTACGATCAAGTTACCGCTTGGTTCAAACACAGATGACGGCTATGCTATTAAAAGCTATTTTACTATATTTAAACAACAAAAGAAATAGTTTTTGCTTATCACTAATCAATCGCTGTAATGAATTCTATACTTTTGATTAATATCACTGCTTTCGACAATATCCGGTTATCAAAGAACATCGAACAAACCCAGATGGAAATATTTTCATAGATGTTACCGTCAAAATTAAATAATCTATGCATGAAGGGCACAAATTCTTCTGGATGTTGTTCACGGAAAGCTTCCTGATTTCATTGATTATTATCGGATCGATGACGCTTGTATTTAAGAATCATATTAGATGAAGCTGTCGAGAACAGAAGTAACTTTGAACTTTATCAAACATTTTTGTCGCCTTTCGTTTGATAGAAAATAAAAAGTTAAAAACAAGCAAATTGGCATTTCACTCGAAAAATAAAGTCACGAACAGTATATTGTTGTGATTCAAAACCATTCCTATGCAGAGCGAAACACTTAATTCTATTATGAGAGCTTTCTTTTCCCTAAAGCAATGAAGATCCAGGGATATATTCGCAAAGGTTTCATAAGAACACCTAAAGTTATATGGATGAACTAAAGATTTAATTACACAAATAGAATTAAAATAAATGAGAGCTTGTGAATAATTAATTTTGGAGAATCATCGAAAATCATATTGTCGTATACTTTTTTAAGCAAGCTTATTTTTGTCAACTCGTATGAGATCAGTTGATTATTTTAGTTAGAATAATCGCATCGAGAAAATTAGACATTGAATGATGAAAATAAAATAACAGAAGAATTTTCTAACCACTAAAATATAATGCTACTCTTTTAGTTAATGACAGTAGTTGACTATTCTTTTCTTAAATAATAAATGAACTCTTATGTCTTTGCTGTAATAGTGTGTGGCAGTTCCATCTAGGATGTGGTCACACATCATTTTTTTCTCGTTATCTTTTATGTCATATACTACATGGCATGCTTGTCTACAGAGAAAAGGCATAATGGACTATGCAGGAATTGAATTATTGATATTTCTATGTCCGAGAAAGGAAGAAAAAAAGAGAAGACAGTTGGTCAACAGTGACAATCGCATAGACAAGATCATCTGACACGCTTGATGATTTCCTGTTCATGTCAATTGATGAATCACATGGCTATGATGAGACCATTGTTACACATTGATCATTTCTCTTTTCTTTTGAAAACAAAAAAACACATCGATGCAGCTGTACATATATCAATTTTGCCAATACTTCAATTTACATCATGCACTATGCTATTGCATAGGTCTCACTAATAGTGTCTATTTTCTTGTTTCTTGACAAATTATAGATCGAGATAAAAAATGCAGATGAGCTTTGCGGAGCGAGAATAAACTTGATTATGAGTTTGCACAGCATATCTGACATCAGAAACGCATGCGTCAATACATCTCTAACATTGATCAAATACGAACGACGAAAATCGGAAAAATCTATTAGAGACGAGACATCTCTCTGCTTGCCTTTTATTCTCATCCCCGTTTTTCCTGTCGTTCGAATATGCACACAATAGTAGATCGATTTGTGTGCGTTCGTTTTGTCGGCTGGCCTAGATTCATTGTCAAAACGACTAGAATAAATTTATCTAGGATGCATGTATAGATGTGTCCGATTGTAACAGACAAAAAAAAATAGTGTTGCAAAAGTCAACATTTTATCAGTAGCTAGCAGCATTATTAGTGAAGAATCCTTGGTCGTAACGACGACGTTCACTCGAGTAGAATATATTTGCATTGATTAATCGCATTCGCTAGATGGAACTCATCTGGTTATAAGAAAGGAAAAAACGAGGTATTGCTAAAGAAGGAAAGAAAAATACTTGCTATTAGTATTATTTAGCAAAAGTCAAAGAGGCGCTGAAAAATTTACACTCAATATGTCATCCATTATTGTTAATTTATCAATATATACATATTAGATAGATATCAACGACAAAACATCTTGTATTTCTCATGTAGATTTTTGCTTTTATCAATCAGATATATGAAAGAAGAACAATCTAAAATATGAGCATGTTATAGAAAATTTACTATTAGAATCCTCAATACATGATGATCACATCTCAACTTTTCTGTTTTTAACATTTATATTGAATTTATAATCTAGCTAAAGAACGAATAAAAGAAAGACACAGAATATATATATATAAATATAAAGAAATGATAGGAACTTGTCGTCTTTTTCTCTTCTTTTTTTCCTCTAGTGAATTGTCGTCATAGACGCTTTCTCTCGAGAATTGCAGACGCGCTTATATTAGTAGAGATGGTACCAACGACGACAATTAGATGAGAGCGAACGAAAGAGAGAGAGAGAGAGAGAGAGAGAAAGAGGCTCTCCTATTTACATGACCCGCATTCGGCAGACAAGCAAAAATTATCTATACAAGTCATTTGATCATCAAATACATACATACGCATAGCAAGCACTTTGATAGACAGCAGTCTATATTAGGTAAGATTTCATGCTATTTTTCTATATGTCTAACGAGAAAATCGATTAAACATAGCTTAGTGATTAATCAAAAACAAAACTATCGATTGGAGAAAATAATCAATAATCTTATGATTTTCTCCATCTCTCTCTATTCCATCAATATAAACTACACAACTATATATATATATATATATATATATATTCAATCTATCTCTATCGAACAAGCACTTTCACAGTCAATTTAATACTAAAATTGCGTATGGATGATTGTGATATATCTACTAGAAGAGTAACACCATTTGCAATTTAGATTCAATGCGTAAGAATATTGCACAATCTTAATTAGAACGTTTCTATGTTGTAACATTTTGTTTTTCTTTCTCACTAACAAAACATAATCATATGATTATATTACAATATACTTTAGATCATTTTTGCTCTTTTTCTTTTGCATTGAACATCTGATATTGATATTATCTCGATGCAAAACGTTAAAAGTTATTTTTCGTCTTGGAAACCATTTTGGAAATCGTCAACAAATTCTTGTCATTCCCGAACGTTAACATTAGCGCCATCAAATATTAATTTTACAAGTTCAAGTTTAGGTGATTTAAAACATTCAGTTATCGATGAAAAACTCATGATTGATATATCAACAAAATTAATGGAGAGCGATTGCCCACCGAAATTACAAATATGTGCACATAATAACCAGTGGTTTGCATTGAATAATAGCCATTTGCTTGTTTATCGTCAATTAGAACGTATTGGCCTCTGTGATACTGTTGGTATGAGAAGTTACACATAGAAAAGATTAGCCTTGTTTTTTTATTTCTAAATTCATTTTATGTCTAGTATGTGACATCATTAGAAGTCAAGATGTACCTATTGGTATTCGACAAACACTTACACCTGTTACGCCAAATGATTCCGAACATGATCATCATCCATGCTTTCAACATTCACGCGGGCGTAGTGGCGATCATTATATGCTTATGGACGAAGAAAGTAAATCGCTGCGATTTTTTTTTAAATATTAACAGCGCAAAAAAACTATTTGAATAGGACCAGACAGTCAAGATGAAATTTTATATTGTGCTGATACTCTCATAGATTCGTGTGGTTGTTATGAAGGCGAAGATCAATGCGATTGTAGCGTTGTTACATACGGCGAAAGTGATCATGACGGAGAATCGGACGATGAACAAACTGATGATAATTACGGTGGTAAGAAAAGAGTGTCAACTATTCTTTTTATTTTATTTTAATATTCAAATTCATCTGCTTTTCAGAGTGGCATACAAGTTCTTCAGTACCAATCACACAAATCAGTACAATCAGTAGTAACCGATTAGATGACATCGATAATGACGATGATGGCATTGAAGATAACCAAAAAGAAATGCAAAGTTTATTGTAATCAGATAATAAAAACATAAATGCCAAGCAATTTTCTTTTTTCTTTCTCCTCTGTATTTATACCAGCTAGTCTTCCTCTTTTCATTCTTTGTTCTGAGATGCTTTTTGTTTTCTTCTTTTTTTAAATTTCATCAAAAACAGAAAAACAGTTAGTTTTATTTTTTTGTTGTTAGTACAAAGGAAAACTCATCAAATTTTATTGAGAAAAGAAAAACTAAAAAAGAAACAGAATATTATCACAGAAAAGAGAATAATAATACTGAGATATGTTTTCTTTCAGCATTTATAACGGCAGGATATATAAGTTAAAGAGATTCATTGAAAATTGGAAACAGAAATAAAATGTTCTAAAAATTTATTAATATTTTTTTCAAATTATTGCTATATCTTCGTTGTTTGTTTGATTTATTGATATTTTTGTACACGACGAACTCGAATACATCGACGAGAACAACAACCAGCTAGAAATATTACAAATAATATTGAAATAATTGCTGCGTAGAGATAAACATTATTAGTCGACTTGGAAATTTCTCTTGTTAAATCTTCTAAATCATCGATGCGAGAAATCTAAAATTGAAATTTTTTGTTTTTCAAAAATTCGATAATTTACATTTTCTTTTGACTTACACTATCCCATAGTTCTTGCCGTTTCAATAGCATACTTTTACAATAAGGTGTAACAGATTTACTCATTTGTATTAAACAGTTTAATTGTTTACCACTTCCTAAAGTATAGAAAGATATTAGATAAATATTGAGTAGAGGAAAATTGTCCTACCTATTGGAACATCATTACAATATTTAAGAATATCAACTTGACATGCAGTTGATAATGCAGGATCAACATGTACATCAGCTCGTCCTTCTCGTATAATACGTATAATTTCTTGTTTACAATTTGCCTCCGTAATTTTATTTCGCTGATACAATAATTTTAGACAATCTTCTTTTTCTGAGCCAGAACATTGCGAATTGATTATATTCTTACAACTTTGATAAAGTTTAACATCAAATTCAATATCAAGTTTTGATGTTTGAATAACATCAACTAGTTCAACGATACATTTCGGTTCTAATTCAGCTTGCGTGTTAGCATATTTTGAACGTAAACATCCAATGATTCTACCACCCATATCACGATCTTGTACATCGTCATCCGTTGGATTCTCTAAATAATTAAACAATAGATTATAAAGTAGCTGAAAAGAAAATAATACTGAATTCGCTAATTTACTATCGTTTTTATTTTTATCATCAGCATCGTCGGATTCTTCATCATCATTATCTTCATCGATGATCAAATTTTGACAATGTTTATCAATATCAGTTTGGCAATTTTCAATTAAACCTTTATGGAACCGGCCATCTATATATACATAAATGAGATAAATATTAAGGTTTAATATTAAGAGTTGTTCGATTAATGTCTATAAAAATGTCATTTACAATAGCCAACGAACGTATTTTTTGTTGATCGTTTAATTTATTTAGATCTTAAGATGATTGCTGAAGAAAAATACTTGTTTTGCTCTTTTTAGTTAATTAGCTTCGAGAGTATGGCATCGAGAGAATAACAGTTATTCCTATCAGTATTTGTTTATTCCATTCGTTTAGACTAACTTCTAGATTAAGCATGTCCTCGAGAAAAGCTTTGCACTCGAGAAAAAAACATTATTATGATTGTTTGATGCAAATTTTGTTTCTTGATCATCGTAATGAATTGAAATGCAACTATTTTATTATCAAATTAATTCTCTTTCGCGATGATGCGAACATCATTTATGCTTAATCTTGAAAGAGCGTAGAAACGTATTCAAAAAAACATTCTGACCCGTTCATAACAATAGAAATCGTCTACAAGAATAGACAAACGGCCTTCGAATACTATAGAAATAAATCTGTTATAAACTTAGACTTTATCTTAAGCAATCGTCATCAAACATTATCCAGCTTCAAACTTTATGATCTAGTTTAGGAAGAATTTTAATATGCCTTCAAGCCCATAAATCCATTAGTCATGCTTAATCAAGGACATACTATTCACTAAGCATTTTATCGAAGAATACATATTGTTCATCTGTATTTCTCATTATTACAATTATGATTATTACTGATGTTGTAAAAAAAAAAACATCCGCTTAACTTTCGAAATAACATTTCAGCTTTTGGCTATATTCACAGTATGTTTAAAATGCATCTTCTCTATGAGAAAAAAAGTTGCCAGTGCAATTCCGACTGGGATCATGTGTGAAACATTTTGCTAATCACAAAGGAATTGCTATATTTTGTCTATGTTCAGAAAGATTTTTTCACGGTAGTAGAGCTTCATTTTGGCCTCTTGAATTAGAAATAGAAAGTATTGAATAAACAGCATTTAGGAGATTCAAAAGTCAACAACTTACTATTATTTTTAATAGATCGAAAACTGTAAAAGACAGTTCTTTTTATTCTAAAGTCGACAATAACTAAATCATATTTAATGAATGACTAGTGCAAATGGACTCGAAAATTTTTCTTCGATAGCTCACGATAATTATTTTGCTCATTAAAAATCGTTTAAGAAGAAATATGAGCGACATGTTGAATCTTACCCGTATTAAGAATCATTAAACGACGATAGAGAACAGTTCGACATGGAACTGGCGTATTGTCTTGATTGATATTACGTCGTAAGCACGATAACAAATTTTGTTTATTTGCAGTGGCGCAATATTTCTAATTGAATTGAATATTGAAAAAAAACTATTCTCTATTTTCATTTGATTAAAATACCTGAATAAGTGGAGCACACTTTGTTGTTAAACTATAATCAGCTCCTGGTAAGACGATATCAATTTTTTCCCGTTTTTTCAACTTGGCATAACATGCTTCTGACACTTTCTTATGATTTGCTTTCAGACAATCAATAACCTGTATGTTAAATAAGAAAATAATGAATGCTCTATTAAAAAATCGACAAAGATAATCACCTGAGCATTGCCTGCCGTACGATCTGCGCAAAATTTAGAAATATCATTTTTACATGCTATAGCGAATAGGGGATCGAAATTAATGTTTTCACTCTAGACAGATAAAAGAAAATGTTGATCGACTTTAAAATATGACATAGAAAATCACGAACACGTTGAAGAAGTTCAAATTTTAATTCACTACGACATTCTTCATTTATTCGATTTGTTTTTTTTAAGACATCTTGTAGGACAATGCCAGCAAGACATTGAATAGTTCCTGATCTACATGAAAAAATAAATAAATGTTCATATAAAACAAAAAACGGCATACTTTGTCTTTTTTCCTGGGCAATGTTCAGTTAATTCTTTTTCACATTTCTTCTGAAATTGTTCACTTAAGAATGCTTTATCTTTCAAACTTATCTACGAAACAGATGAATATTTGCATTCATTTGTTTAATATTATATGATTTACTATTTGATGATGTTCGATGCTTGTTTTACAACGAAAATCCATTTTTTGATTGTTCTTATTATTGATTAAACAACGGAGTAAATCATTTTCATGACCGGTGCCAATATTCTACATGGCAAAAGAAAATCAATCATTATAAGAGATGAGAAACCTCTATTTTTTCTCTTCACTGTACCGCACAAAACAATTGTATCATCGGGTCGCATGTTTTCATAAGAAGAAAGTCAAGAGATGGATCAGTTATGGTCATTTTTGTAAAAGCTTTAACAGCAGTTTTACATGAATCTTCAAGGTTTTTGTATTTCTTTTGTAAGCATTTCATTTCCTAAAACAACATCAATAAAGTTGTCCGACTAGTAATCTACTTGTAATAACCATCGGGTAGCGCAAATAAATCTATAATACTGTGGCCTTAAGCATATTTTTTTACTGTTCGTAAAGTATTAAAGCGATAGTAAAATGTTTTTCTTAGGCAAATCACTTCGAATATTATCTTACTTCTCCTTTAATTTCTGGATTTTTACAACTCGCTAAGTCTTCTATACATTTATCTTCAATTTCAGGCATTAAACCAATTGATGTTGTTCGAGTACGCATTATTTTTTGAAATTCATTACGACATTCATTGTCAAGCTAAATTAAAAGAGGAAAAATTCCATGTGAACATGTGTGGAGTATTTTCTTGTTTTTTACTTCTTTCTTGTGTCGATATAAACAACTTAGATATTGTCCTAAACTAACATCACTCATATTACTGGTCATAGACCAGTTTGGTGGTAGTTCACATAATTTAATAAGATCTTTTTGGCATGAACGCATTAATTTTGGTGTCAATCTATTTCATAAGAAATACAAAAATTGAACCTTAATCGTAATCTTTTGTTTCCTATTACCTCCAATCACGTGACATAAAATAAGCAACTTCCATAAGACGATCTTCACATTCTTCTGTCATGCGACTATTTTTTAAATTATCCATTAGACATAAAACTACATTTGAATCACCGGGTTTTATTCTTGCACATAACGTATCAATGACCGATCGACAAGCTGTTTCCAAAAGTGGATCGGCTCGTATATCATTACCTGGATCGACAGCTCGCACCAATGTTTTAACGCTTGATAAACATGCAGGACTAAAAGTTTTTTCTTTACGAGCTGCACCTAATAAGCAATGAATCATTCGACCGCCACGTTGATCAATGGTACCGCTAGCACCTTGTTGATATAATGAAGCACAATGCTGAACCATTTCATTTTTACATTGAGCAACAATTTCAGGCGAAACAGCGTAATCCGACATTAGCATACGACGATGCATAAGTACTTCACGGCGACAATCATCTTTTATGTTGTTACCTACGATATTTGTTTTTTTTTTGAAAATAAATATAATAAGATAAAACTAAACGATTTATAAAATATCATATGATTGAATGTTTACCTTTTTTAATTCTATCTTCAAGGCAAAGAAGTAAATTAATAAGTGATAATTGAGGATCGGGATCTTTTGGATTAGCAACGCATTCATGTTCACGCATTTCGGTGCCACATGCTACAATTTTACATCAGTTTTATGTATATATATATATATTTGTGTTTTTTTTTCTACGCAAGTTTTACCTCGAACCAATGGCGCATCCAACAGGGCATTGGTAGCTACCATTTTTTGTCGTCGATGAACTTCTTTACGGCACTAAAATTTTCATGCAAGATACAGAGAATGTAAATATTATAATTATTGAATCATGACACAATAGAAAAATGTAATCGTAAACTGACGAAGGAATTCGTTGCATATTGGAGAAACAAAACACGTTGTTGACATCGGTTTTCATAGATTTTATGGCTTCGTCTGTGTTCGACATTAACAATGATGATAAAATGCGAATTTATAGATTCGTACTCAATGAAACAAAAGCTACTACTAAGACTCGTACCATAGATTTCCGTAGATTTCACTGCCATTCTAGTTGAAGTCGAAATATTTCAAATGATAGAGAGACTTTCTAAATTGTACAATTAGCAGATTTGTTTTCTTATTCAAATAATGAAAAGCAATGCTTTGTAAGAAAATGAAACCTTGCCATTAGTTGTTTGCTAGCGTAGATGTTTTTCTTTGAAACGGTCTACACTATCTAATGGGAATCACTAGAAAGTTTGTTTGCTCATAACTCTAAAATTCGACCTTCAATTTAACGACTGAATTCAAATCGAAAGTAAACAATATTTTTAACGCGGATACAACCTGACGTCGAGATTGTAAAAGAAAACGTGTTCACATTCGATTCTGTTCTTGCAAAATACATATTGATCTTTGGATTTATATACAGTTTATGTCGAAACTGGCTACTTACATCTGCTGACATCATAGTATTAAATTTATTGTCATATAAACATCGGTAAACTCGACCATTGCCGCTTGAAACTTGAGTACACAAACGTTCGCGGTCATCGCGGCATGCATAGTACAGTGCCCGGTCTAGATGATAATCATTTGATTGCATCTCATGTAGTCGAGATATATGTTTCAAGCATGGTTTAGATAAACCATCGTTGTTTCGCGATAAACATGCAATAACAGCACCTTGATTATGTGGTAACTAAAGAAAACGAATTTAGAATTTCTTCTGTTAAGCATTTGATTCGTACATACAGTATCATTATCATCGTCTAATCGTCCACATTTGAGATCTGTAATATCCTTGAAACAGGCAGTAGTAAAATATTCTGATAAACGCCAGTCGGTGAATATAACCGATTGTAGTTGATTAATAAAATTTCGACATGACGGTTCAGTTATATTACCCAAACGATCATATAAACATGAAACAAGACGGCCAGTGCCACGTTCATCGGTGCGATCGTTACATTCATCCAAATATTTAATATCCTTGGCACAATATTTGATTGCCCCATCGTCGAAACGTACATCATGTGTCATATTATATTTAAATTTATAAATACGCTAAATAGAGTATTGAATGTTAGCAAAAAGACACGATTGCTAAATAGAACTAGAACGTATATAATTTTACTTACATTTTGACATTCTTTACTTATCAAATTCACGGCCTAAATTTAGATAATAAATTTCAAAGAACGATTTTCTTTTGACAAGTAGAAAAACTCACATTATCAAGATCATCAAAACATTGTAATACTTTCAAATTAATAACCGCTCGTGCAGTGCCTTTAGCACAATATTTTTGTACATCAGCTTTGCACTCTATACTAGAAGCAAGTAATGTCGCAGATGCCGATAATAATATTCTTTCGTCAGCAGCACGATGAGTTCGACGCATACCATTACTATTTGACCGTTGCGTGTCTGCTTGAACGGTTTGCTTGAAAATACCAACAGATAAAATAAGCACGAATGTGAATATCATCGGATTCGATACCATCCGATCGTTTATCTGAAATATGCAGCAAGAATTACTTTTCTCTTTTTATTTTTTAACGGTATCCCGTTTCGATTGAAACAAAAGCAAACAGAATGCAACAAGCACATGTCTTATGCAATAGCTTTCTATGTGATCATGAAATATGAGAGACAGTACAGTCGACGTTTTCTTTGGCTGATTCAGTCTTTCATAAAGAAAAAAAAACGAACGCAACCAAAATCGACAATCATCAGAAAAGGCCTATCACTCAAGGATGCTAGGCATTCTGGTTTATATAGATATGGTTAATGATTTTTGGTTATTTTGAGGTTGATCAAGCGAAACAACGTTTGTACACTGTGTGTAGTGAAAACAGAGCTTCTAAATAAAAGAACTACAGTAAGGCAAGGTAAAAAGAATATTATTGGCGTCTTGTTTACTGGTAGTGTCGTCGTATATGAAAGTATTGATATGCACGCATCAAATATGTTGTATGGGTTAGAACAGAAAGAGAAAAGGATTAATATTTTCTTTTTTTCGTTTTTTAGTAGTAAAAGTAGGAAGTAATACGAAAGCTATGCGCATTGGTGTACTGAAACGCATTCATCCAGAACGAAGCATACGGGAATGAGAAAACTCGAGTAAATAATAACATACTTGTGTTGTGCTTATGTGGAGAAAAGAAAAAAGAATTAAGTCATGCACCACAATAAAACAAAAATTCGCCTTTTAAATTTTTACTACCTGTAGAATTTTGTTCGTCTTTACGCATTTTTTCTACATCGCCGTGAGTCGAGAATGAGCATAAATAAAAAGTGACTCATTCAATCGCCGAAATGTTTCTTTCTTTTTCTTTACAGTAAAATTTACGTTTATGAACATAAGCGATGTCGTCATCGAAACTATTCTTAAAAATCACACATCCAGTTTTTACCTCTTTCTTATCGTTATATTTCTTTATGGATTGATCGATCAGCCGATCTGAAGCCTTTTAAGCTAAATGTCCTTCTAAATTTATTTGATTTCATACGACAAAATCAATCTAATGAATGCATGGGTTTTATCTCGTTAAACGATGCAGTTGAAAATGGATCAAAAAGTAAGGGTTTTAAAGATAGAACGTGCACGAATCGTCTCAACAGAGGACGCTCACCAACAAAATACACTATACAATCATCTGTTGAAAGTAAAACACAATCACAATGATATGCAAGGAGCAAGTCACGCATCACTGCTTCCATACATCAACAGAATAAAGTAACAGCCATGTAATTTTCTTTAAAAAACCATCACTCGAATTTTACTATGACGAATATACGTATCTAGAACTTGAAACACAAATTCGTGACAATGTTCTTGGTTCGCAAAAAGTTTTATATCTGTAGGCCACAGAACAAGTGCATAAGCTACGGCTATTGGAAACGATGTTGCTTCGGCTGAACTAAAACTTTGCGAGAGTAACTACTATATAAATGAAGTTATTTCTTTCATGATGTTGACTCCTATATAAGACTATCAAGTTTTTCATACCTCGACATTTTGAACAATATCAGACACAGACAACTGGTGGTGTTTTTACTGTACGTCAGTCTCATTCAGATTGAAAAGAAATCAGGTTAATCCCTATTGACACTTACCATGGAATATAATTGTTACGTACGTAAACTATGAGACTGCTCCTCTTTTATCCTACTGAAAATCAAAATTAGTTGTCGTAGTTTTTCATCTGGAAATTCTTATTTATCATGTTTCTTTAGCTTTCGTTAGGGGAGTTGCTGTTTTTTTTTAACTAACATCCGTTTCCACATTTACACCCATACGAAGGTTAGCTTTCACCTTGTACAATACTCTTGAGTTCTAATGAAATAATTTTGATAGAAAAGTTTGTGAATATTTTAGCTGATAGCAAGAGACTCTCTACTTTAGATAAGTAAGCGCTCAATTGGTGTACCTAGCTCGACTGAAGTATCACATCAAAGAGATCTTCAACTCCGTGACGATGTTTATTCAGGCTCGAAATAAGACAATCATGATAACGCTTAGCTATGTAAAGACTATTAGAGTTGAGAGATAAATAAGAGACTTGAAGTTAGAGTCTTCAGAAAAAGAATAATTTCAAGTCATTTTTTTTCTAGCTTTTCCATTATAGGTTTTTATTATTTTAATCCTATTTGGAAAATAGAGAACACATTCAATTAGCTTTTAAAAGAAGACAACTATACTCATCATCAAAGTAGACCAAAGAGATTATTTCCTTTCACGAGGAAGCCTCGATTCATTTTAAATAATAGTTTTAATCCATCTAATTGTACGATAACAGTAGCGAATTCCAATTTAAAATCAAGTCATACCACAACAGTTAAATTTAATATTTATATTCATTAGCAGTAACAATAAAAATTGAGTAGAAATGATCATTCGATATAGATTTTGTTTACGAATGTATGAGAATATATAATCGTGTGATATTTATTCTCTTTGTATGAAAACACAATGTTACCGGATGGTTTTCTAGGGAATGCGACTTTCTTGTAATTTTACATTCGTGTAATTGACTGACATACGGTCCTACTAGAGCAGACATAACATAAGTCTATTTTAATTTTCAACATTTTATACTATAACATACTTTGTTTGGTTTTGATGTATCATAAATTTTCATTTTATAAACTACTGAACGTAGAACACAACAATTACCTGCCAATGCTTGTACTTCATTAAAATTTCCATTTCTATTTGCCCATTCTAGTAATTTAAATAAGAAGAAATAAGAGATAATAATATGCTTCCAGGATCTGCCAAAGTACATCTTGTGAGATAAATGCAATGGTTCGTTGATCTAAGTCAGTTTGATGAAACTACTGAAACTTTTTGCGATGATAATAGGTTGTCTTGTTTTTCATGCAAAATCTTTTTTGTAGATGCAATTTAGATAAAACAAAATCTCCTTTCATAATATATGTTTAGGTAATGATAACAGAGTCAAACATATTTTTATTGCAAGAAAACTTGCTCAATATAATTAACTTGATAAATCATTGAATAACACATAATCCAAGGTTAATTTAGTTTTGAAGACTACCAGAACGTATATATATATATATATATATATATATATATATATATATATTCACGATCAAAAGCGAAAGAATGGTTACAATAGCTCACACCCGATGAAACTATCTTGTATCATTAACTATTTAGTGTCTATTTTGTTTGAGCATACTATCAAACACACGTGGAACTTTATTATGATTTATTAATAAGTTGAAGAATATTCATATTAATATTTAAAGTATTTATTGCTTTTTTCTTTTGTATCATGTTACAGAAACTAAATGCAAGTGGATTGCTCATATTGTTGTACTCAAACAAATTTCACTTGTTCTAAAGAATGCAGGCATCGTGAATGAGAGAACTCTATTAATCCTTCTATTATCTATCTTCAAGATATTTTAGGATCAATTCAAAGTTCACTAATTACTTTCGACTCGTTGGAAAAAAGAGATCCTTTTACCAGCTCGTTTTTCTTTTGTTTGAATATCTTCTATTTTTATTCTGCTCATATAATCTCGGCTGTCATAAATGCGTACACCCGTTTTGGATCGCGAGAATGAATCTTTCCTAGTTGAGTCATAGATCATAGAGAGATAGACCGGGTGATTTAATTAGGTTACCAGTTGGCATTGAGGCACATGTTGAACTCTATTATATTATTAGATACCAGACAAAAGAAAAGAAGACGCGGTTCTCTAATGTGTTCTATTTGTATCGTTCTGAGCTGGATTCCTTGGAGTCAGCGTTCTCTGTTCAAAAGGAGACATGTGGTAGTCAAAAAGATGAGTGCTAAGGGCGGAACCTAACGACACACGATCACTATTTCCGGTGCGTGTTTATGCGCCTGTATTGAGACGCCTTTGATTTGCTAGAAGAAATCTTACACGATGTGATGGCGATGCAGTGAAAGCGACGGCATACTCATGTTATTTTTCCCTCTTCGTTCTTTGCATTAAGACGGCTATTGTGACAATGACAATTTATATATTTATTCTTTTTCTTTTTGCTTCGATGTTGCTCGTGTTGCTAGCTGTCAATCATGTGTCTATATTATTGAGCATTAACTTTTCTTTTCATTTCTCCTTTTTTTTTTTTGTTATGTATTTATTGGACATTTTGATTTTAGTTGAAAGTTTCAATGGAACAGCAATTTCGTGTTGTAATTATTGGAGCCGGTATCGCTGGTCTTTCATGTGCCAAATATTTAATTGAAAATGGTATTGATGATTTTGTTATTCTTGAAGCACATGATCAAATTGGTGGGCGTTGTCAAACTATTCAATTGTGTAAGTGTTTTACTGGAAAAATCTAGAGAAAAAAAAAGAAAAGTCTCCACATGATTTTAGTGGATCATCAACTTGAATTGGGCGCTGAATCATTGCATGGCGAAATTTCAAATAATCCATTGTACCGAATAGCCGAAGAACATCATCTTATCGATATCGATGACAGTAAGATTGCATGATAGCAACAAAAAACGAAGACTCATAGTTATTTCGTTTTAATGAAAATCATTATATTGTGATTATTTCCGACTGACAAATCACAGAGAAAAATAGAATTGAACAAAATGATTTCCAGCGGCTTATATTATTCGATGAATTCAAGAAGAAGCTGCTATTGATCTTCTTTTGCTAGGCATGAAAATTGATCTATCCGTTGGATCATGTCATACTAGTTTTAATAGAACATTATCTTTCTGTCAAATATAAATCTAAAGAGAAAAAAATTAGGATAGCAAATATTATTTGACATAGTAGCAATCAAATCTGTCAGAAAAGAATCAACAAAACCTATATGTTAGACAGACATTTTTTTTTTTGCAGGATTTATTTAGTCTATTTATGATAGAGAATAGCTCAATAATAAGCATGTTTCTTTTTTCTTCTCGCTGCAGGAGGATCAGACCGAGATGATTGTTATCATGATGAAGAAGCGGAATCGATTGATGAAGATGTTATTGATGAAGTACGAAAAGTTTATGATGAAATATTAGAAAAAAAAGTTGCAGCATATCCATACGAAAATTATCCTGATATATCTTTGGGCGAATTCGTATCGGCTGAAATCGAACAATATATTAAAATTAAAAACGTAACATTAGATAAAGATGAATTAGATGAACAACAAAAAGTCATAGATTGGCTTAGTAAACAACATCCATATTTAAATACTATTGGTTGTAATAAATTAACGGATGCATCCGTACAAGGTAAAAATATCCTAATTGAAACTTGGATAGAAGCAGAACCATAATAAAGGATTTATTTGCTTTTTTTGAAAAATTACCGATAAAATCCGATATGACTTTTTTCTGCATGAACTAATAAAACATATAGGACAGACTGTTGTGAATAGATTCCATTATTAAACAATACTTCGTCATGTAATTTGGTCACAAACAGCGCCATTATAAAATTCAAATTTGAATCGTTTGTTTTTTTTTCTTCTTCTTCTTCTTCTTCTTCTTCTGTCATTATGAACTTTATCTTGTAACACCTAGCAACCGAGGATTTTGCTTATCAAAAATCAATTTACATAATTAGAAGTATTCCGCCTAACGACAAATGAACGTCGATTCCCTATTCTCTTAGGATGGAATTCTCTTGAACGTTTACCCTCGAATAATCAATATAATGATGAAGCAGTTTACCTGTACGGAGGCTTTTCAAATTTTTTGCAAAGAGTATTTGTTGATCAACTAAATGAAAATCAAATTGAATTAAATACTATTGTTAAACGTGTTTCTATTCATGAAGAAGAACAATATGTTGATATAGAAATTATTAAAAGTAATCAAGACCTAATAACAACTTATCAAGCTAAACATGTTGTTTGTACACAATCGGTCGGTTGCCTTAAACAATCCATGCATCAAATGTTTATACCGCCGTTACCACATGCTAAAAGAATGTGCATACAAAAATTAGCTTTTGGTATCGTCAATAAAGTTTGTTTACTGAATAGATAAATAAAACGTTGGTGATGTTTGCAATTTTTCTTTCAAATAGATCTATCTTGGTTTTTCACAGCCATTTTGGGATGTTGATTTTCAAACATTTAATTTTCTATGGGATACAAATGATGATGATACCGAATGGAACTTAGAATGTTTTTCTAAAACATCTTTTAATGTTAGTAAACTAAATTTTCTTTCATCTCCATAAAAAAAAGCTGTTTTTTCTCTGGTGCCATAGAGCGATTGGTGTAAAAGTATAACTGGCTTTCATGTTCATCATCGATTGCCAAATGTTCTCGTCACACGGATAAGTGGTGAAGCAGCAAAATATATTGAAACCATACCAGACGATTTACTTGCAATGGCATTTCAAGAACTTCTTTATCACTTCTATCCTGATAATCAAACTCCAAAACCTGAACAATTAATTAGATCACGATGGTTCAACGAACCATTTATACGTGGTTCACATACATTCATTAAAATTGGCTCGAGTATGCATGATATTAAACAATTAGCTGCGCCATGGCCAAGCAAGCCTGCCAAACCGCTTATTCTTTTTGCTGGCGAAGGAACACATGAAAGATTTTACGGAACAGCACATGGCGCTTATATGACTGGTATACGTGAAGCAAAACGCATTATGGAATTCTATTAATTTCTATGTACAAAGTTGAAGTATGATATAGTGTATTGATATTTTTATATTGTATAACCGATTACTTAAAATAATAAACACTAATAATGAAAATTAGTTGTGTTCGCCTTCTTTTAAAAACATTTCAGATGGTAGAATATCTTTTAGAATGCGAAACATTTTATATTCTTTATAGAATACAATTCATAAGGATTGTATACCGTATCGACGAAATAGACATCGTATTGAAATAAAATTGTGATCGGTTTCGTTCTGAAATATATAGGATATGCAAGAATATGAACTGAAAACAAAAACAAACTTCTTGGTATGTTATAGTTCGGTCATGTCGTAGAAGTTGGCATCGATTGTCAAGAAAATAAAATTTTATCACTTTTGCTTGCATCAAGTTGAGGCGTTAACAAAATTAATTTATAATTAAAATTCTCATATGAGAAAATAGAGCTGCTAAAAATATTTGCATTTTATCTATAATTTATTTTAATCAACTTTGACAAGAAGAGACACAAAGTTCCTTTTCAATCAAGTGAAATTATTGAATTCGCTACAATTTTTTTACGGTCTTTTTCGAGGCAAATCAAAGAAGTGAGTAGAACTCTTATTTAGACAATACTTATCTGAAGTACATAAAAGCGTTTCCTACTCTATTGTATTCGAATAGCTGTTTTTACTTAGAACAGAACACGACACATAATTGCATATCTATAAATTCATTTTCTGGACTTCATTCTTGATGTAATTTACAAGGCCAGTCGAAGAAAAAATAATCTAAATTATTCATCGATGTTTCATACCAAACTATTCTAGTTGCATTATAAATTGAAAATAAAATATGGCCTTCTCTCACTCATCTATGCAAGATTATATATGATATTGTTTCAAGTAGAAAAGATAATTGTTGTCGCATGTTTAACATTGCAGATGACGTGCGTTATCATTTTCTCATTAAATTCTTACAATGATAAAGCAAAAGAATAGATCACAGAGAAAAGTTTCATAAGACAAAAGACTTCATGTTTTGAAATCCGTATGATGGGACACAAAAATTCTAAATCTTACTCTCTATCGGTGACGACTCGCTCAAATCTACCACTATCTTTACTATCCTTTAAAAACAACGAATCATTGCCCAGAAATCATCCTCAGTTTATGGCAGAAATGCCCAGTCGAATCCATACATATAAATTACCGCTCACACCGATAGAATCTACTAAAATAATTGAAAATTATGTTGTCGTTTGGTTTGGTAGAAACATCGATGAAGATCATAACTCAATAAATCAAATTCGCCGTGTTGCTCATTCGTTTCGATTATTTACTGATATTGATGAACTTTTTGCGTTCATTGTTAAACTAAACGACGAAAAATTACTTTTAATTTTGTCGGACCCATCCGCTCAAAAAGTTGTTTCTAGCATTCATCAAACTTCTCAACTTATTGCGGTCTATATTCTTTCTAATGATAGATTAAATGATGAATCATGGATAAAGCAATTTGAAAAAATACACGGCACATTTACTCATATGGAATCCATATGTGAAAAATTAAAAGATAAATTATTTTTGCCTGAGAAAGATATTATACCGATTGAAATACTTGATGCAACAACACTTCTTATTCAAAATTTAATTAAAAAAATTCTTCTTGATGAAATAGTTTATCATAAGAAATCTAAAAAAAAACTTATCAAATACGCACGTCAACAATATGCTAACGAGTTAGATACAATTAAAGAATTTGAAGAAAATTATATTCCTTCAAAAGCCATCTGGTGGTATACAAGAAAATGTTTTCTCTATGTTGCAATGAATAACGCTTTTCGCACACACGATATAGAACTAATCATTAAAATGGGCTTCTTTATTCGAGATCTTCATCGACAAATCAATCAATCCGCTGATGAAATTGATAATCAAACTGAGACGATTGTTTACCGAGGTCAAGGAATATCAGAACATGACTTAGATATGCTAAAAACTAAGAAGAATGGGTTGCTTTCGTTTAATAATTTTCTTTGGACAAATACTAATCGAGATACATCATTACATTTTGCATATTCTGCCAGAAATAATCCGGATCTAATTGGAGTTTTATTTCAAATGAAAATCAATTCATCGATAAAATCTATTTCATTAGAAAAATTAAGTTACGATTTAAATTCTGAAAGTGGAATTTTATTTTCGATCTACACTTTATTTCGTATTGATGAAATCAAACAAGTTGACGATAAAATTTGGGAAATAAATTTAATATTAATCAATGACAATGATCAACAATTACAAGAGTATGTTCAATCTGTAGAACGCATTGAAGAAAAAACAGCATGGCAACAGTTAGGTTTCTATTTTATTCAAATCAATGAATTCGATACAGCTGAATTGCTGTATAAAATCTTACTGCAATCCAATGCAACTGACGATTCAGAACAGTTAGCTATACTAAATGAACGACTTGGATTTCTCTATAATAAAAAGAATAATTTAATAGATTCACTTCTACACTATAAAAAATCATTAGAGATCTATTTAACTATTTCATTATCAGATGATTCTAGTCTCTATTCAATTTACTTAAATATTGGCAATCTTTTTCATAAGCAAAATAATTTAAATGAAGCAATGGAAAATTATAAATGTGCATTAAATATTATACTTCATTCATTAAAAATTGATTCGATAAAAGTAGCTACAGTTTATTATCATATAGCTGAAATATATAATGCACAAGGATTATTTAGTGAAGCTATTCAAAACTATCAATCATCCTTAGAAAGTGAACTTAAAATTGCTCCACAACGACACTTACCACTAGCTAATACTTACAATAGAATCGGTGCAGCTTTCTATCAAATGAATGATTTTATTACAGCATTTTCTTATTATGGAAAAGCACTTAAAATTCAAAAGAAATATCTTTCGCCGAATCATTCAACGTTAGCCGAAACCAATTATCATATTGCTATGACGTTCGCTGGTTTACAACAATATAGAAAAGCTATTGAATATGCAGCACTAGCTGTTAATATTGCTCGACATTCACTTGAATCTAAAGATGATCGTATACGATTATATGAAGATTATCTTCATGAACTTCAAGAAAAACCTTTAATTGGTGTTCTACCAAAAAATGGTTCTGTTCATGAATAAATGAATATTTTCAATGATCTAATTTCAACTACGATTGCGTATGAAATCATCTGAAATCACGTTCAAAATGTGATAGAAATTGAATAGATATGAGTATGCTAAAAAATAAAACCAGTAAATTTGCCATATTCGAACAAGTTGTATTGAAAGAAGCAGCATTAGATAAATCAGCGACAGCACTTCCTCATATTTAGATTTTTGTTGGTTATATGCAATCAATTCGTCAATGTGATTTTGAAAGAATTTATTTGAATTCAACACAGTTTTTGTAAAAATTAATTGAATAGTATTGTTTGATATATGTGGTTACTGGTTCAAAATGAGTTCTTTCGAATGACACATCGTTCATGGAGAACACTGTGGGG